TGCAAACTTGGTGCGGCTTCCTGGTTTCCACGGAACAGAGCACGTTAACAGTTCTACTTCCGCTTCTGGGCGGCTCACTTGTGCAAGTTTGGTGCGGGTCTCGGTGGTGTCCTCTCTTGTACCTTCGACTGGCTGTGCGAATCTTGTGCGGCAAGTGTCTTTGAGCAGGATTTGTGCTGTTGGGCTTTGGTTCCTTTGTGCCGTGTGCAAAGCCTGTGCCTTCAAGCTTCGGAGCTGGCGGGAAACACGTTTTCACTTCTACTTAAGCTTCTGGGCGGCTAAATTGTGCAATTGTGGTGCGGGTCCTGCTTGGCCGCCCTTAAAGCCTTTGGTGAAGCTGTGCAAATCTTGTGCGGTATAGTCCTTGGTGCCAAGCTCTTGTTGTGCAAATTTCGTGCGGTGTGTGCTTTTGCTGCTTCTTCAATGGTCCATGGGTTGTGCGAATCTTGTGCGGCACGGGTTCCTGTGCAAGATTTGTGCTTGTCTGCTTCTGTTCCTTGTCTGTCGTGTGCAAACTTGGTGCGGCTTCTTGGTTTCCACGGAACAGAGCACGTTAACAGTTCTACTTCCGCTTCTGGGCGGATCACTTGTGCAAGTTTGGTGCGGGTCTCGGTGGTGTCCTCTCTTGTACCTTCGACTGGCTGTGCGAATCTTGTGCGGCAAGTGTCTTTGAGCAGGATTTGTGCTGTTGGGCTTTGGTTCCTTTGTGCCGTGTGCAAAGCCTGTGCCTTCAAGCTTCGGAGCTGGCGGGAAACACGTTTTCACTTCTACTTAAGCTTCTGGGCGGCTAAATTGTGCAATTGTGGTGCGGGTCCTGCTTGGCCGCCCTTAAAGCCTTTGGTGAAGCTGTGCGAATCTTGTGCGGTATAGTCCTTGGTGCCAAGCTCTTGTTGTGCAAATTTCGTGCGGTGTGTGCTTTTGCTGCTTCTTCAATGGTCCATGGGTTGTGCGAATCTTGTGCGGCACGGGTTCCTGTGCAAGATTTGTGCTTCTTGGTTTCTGTTCCACCTTGCCCTTAAGGAACACACCACGTTTTCAGTTCTACTTGAGCTTTTGGGCGGCTAAATTGTGCAAGTTTGTTGCGGGTCTCGGTGGTGTCCTCTCTTGTACCTTCGACTGGCTGTGCGAATCTTGTGCGGCAAGTGTCTTTGAGCAGGATTTGTGCGGTTAGGCTTTGGTTCCTGTCTGCCGTGTGCAAAGCCTGTGCCGTGAAGCTTCGGAGCTGGCGGGAAACACGTTTTCACTTCTACTTAAGCTTCTGGGCGGCTAAATTGTGCAACTTTCGTGCTGTCCAGTCTTGTCCTCTGGTGTCTTGTGCGACCGTTGTGCCGTGCTAGTAGTAGTAGTAGTAGTAGTCGTCGTCGTCGTAGTAGTAGCAGTAGCAGTAGCAGTAGCAGTAGCAGTAGCAGTAGCAGTAGCAGTAGCAGTAGCAGCAGTAGTAGTTAGTAGTAGTAGTAGTAGTAGTAGTAAGTAGTAGTAGTAGTAGTAATAGTAGTAGTAGCACTGCTAGTAGTACTGCTAGTAGTACTAATAGTAGGAGTAGGACTAGTGGCAGTATTAGGTACTACTACAACGTTAAGACCAAGAAAAACTGATATTCAGGGACAACAGGCCAGACTAGTCTATGCAAAATGACTGACAAAGACACTCGAAAAGAATCATGCACTGCCTGACTTGCAAAAACATGCGTTGCAGACATGGTACCGAGGGCAGTGCCGAGTCATGCACCGGAGTGCATGAGCGCCATAAGGACTCCGGGCGCGCACGGCCATCGAGAAAGGTGTAACTGCACATTTGCTTCTGCTTGGACGAGCTTTGCATTGCAGATGTTTAATACTGTCAGCATGCCTTGCATGTTCAAGCTGTTTAGATCCACTCTCAGGTTCCTTCTCCGAAGCTTTGCGACCACTGTCACGACGTGGCGGCGGTTTTGCGAGCGTTGTTGTGAACTGCCCTTGCTCAATATGATTGAATTTCCAGGTCCATGCAAATTCCATGACAGACACATCTCACAAACCCCTTTTCAAAATTTCCCGTGACTGCAGTTGCCACACACATCTGTCTGAGGACGAGGGCGAACCGCCAGACGAGGCCGAAGATCACGGATCATCGTGTTCCGCAATTAGACGGTGTGCTCCAAGACCTTCTGCACCTGGTGAATGTAACTGAACTCTGGTGCTTGACCCGGCTTGGCAAGTCAGCATCTGAGTATTACTGCTTGTTTCTGAAGACCCGCCTCCTCAGCACTTGGGCGCTTGCTGGTGGCCAGATGCCTCTCAGGAGGGCATCAACACTTTCCAGACACGCCGACCCAGTCACTGGCCTGGTCGCTGAGCACCAGTAGTCCGGCAGCTGCTCGACCAGCCCTGAGGCCAACAGAATGTTCCTGATGCAACGTTCCATCACGTTGAGCGAGACAGCGTTGCCCAATGCACGGCCGATCACAGACGAGGACGAGGACGAAAGCCATGAAGTCACCAAGGAATCCGGAACTCCTGCCATGGCAAGCAACAGATACTTCACTCAGAAACGGCGGGCCCCAAGTGTCCTGTGAGACGGCCCAATTCGTGGATCGAGAGGCAAGTGCGGCGAGAAGGTACGTAATACGCCCCAGGATGGGAGCCTCGAGAAGCCGTGATTGTGGGCATGACCGAGGACCCGAGGCCGACGTTTCGGTGCTGCCCTGCGCATACGTCCACCACGGTTCCGGGAGAGTAGATGATCTTCTTGCCGTAAGTCCTGCAGGCCTGAGGAAAACAACATGACGACACCACGGACGCACAAGGAAACTTGAGGCCCAGACGGTTTCCATGTTGTCTCGGAAAGTAGAATTTTCATTCTCCACCGACGTCACAGCTTTCTGGCCTGGCTTCCGGCCCTTGTCCAAGAAGATCCGCAGCGAGGGCGACTGAGATGCAACATTGTTACAACAAACCTTCTCCGCAGTCAGTTCATGCCAAGGCTCCTGCCTGCAGCTGTGGCTCGGGGAGCCAATGGTGCGTGTTCATGTTGCTGCTCAATGAATCCAGACGAACACCCAGCAGGAAGATGCGTTTGCGGCGCTGCGGGACGCCGTGGTCAGCGGTGTTCAAGATACCCTCCTGGACAGCCTAGGCTGAGGTAACCGTACAATCAAACTAAGTCGAGGCACTGGCACTGACAGAGTTTGAAGACTGTGACTTGCGGGCTCCTGACATAGTCGGCTTCTCTCAACAAGCGATGTGTTTCCGCCAGGATCTTCGGGTGCCGTTCCTTCAAGCCGAGGACATTCTCGAGGACGAAAGCCTGAGAACAGGCGCGATAGCTGGGTGAGACGGGCTGAGCCAGCATGACACGTGTGTAAGGCAAGGCATGTGGCGCGAGGTCGATCGGAAAGAATGTGCTCCAGCTGGTGCCACCATAGGCTGCCTTCCTTGCCAGAACCACCTTGCTCAAGAAACAGACAGTCAATGAAAGAGACCGACACACATGAAAGCCGGTACATCCCATCAATGAAGATTGCCAGGACACCACGGCCTTTGCCAGCAGCAGAAAAATCTTGACAGGGACTCGTCCCCACGTATAAATCCAGATTCTCCAAAGTTGGTCTTGAAACCATATCTGGTGAGGACGGGGGCAACGAGGACGACGCCAAAACTCGCCTGTGCACTATATTTCTGAGTTCCTGGACGGCCGGGTCCAGCTCCGTAGTGCGGACTACTTCAAAGTCCACCTTCAGAAACCCGAGGGCGAGGGCCTCGGGGTCTGCGATGTCTGTGCGACTGTGGCCTGTCATGTCCGACCTCCTTCCAAGTTTCGGGCTGCTGTGTCGTAGCCACAACAGTCGGCCGCAAAGCGGATCTTGTGAAGAACCTGGAATGGCCTCGCCGGAGTGAAGGAAATTGAAATGATTCGGCTTATAGTTAGCGGGAATGCACAGTCACAAGCTGCCCACCTGCTGCGGAGTCGGTGGTGCAGGGCCTGTCTAAGAGGAACAGCTGCGACTGCCAACAATCAACACAACATCGATGAGTAACTACATTTAAACTGGGGACTTGGCCTTGTCTTGAAGCCTCTTAATGATGTTGTCCTTGCATTTCCTGGCAGGGATCGCAGGCTGACGAACTCCAACATCGTGGCTGCCCCGGGCCTCTTGTTCATCTCTGTCGTCTTCTTGACCATGGCGAGGAGGGCGGAGTCAAAACTAGCTGAGCACACCCTTGAATACATGTGACGCCTGCAGGCCCAGCAGCATGATTCTCATTAGACAAGATGTTGTGACGCCAGGCGTACATCACTGTCCGGAGGGCGAGAAACTGAAAGCAACATCGATGAGCAGTAACGACTACACCGACTCTTGCCCCCAGCCTTTTCTGGCATGGCCGGGCGGAGGCAGCAGTGCACGGCAGCAGCGCAGCGTCCCTGGGCACGGGCACGAAACGCCTATCGAACACGTGCCAGTGTCGCAAGTACTAGACTTGACAAGGACGAGGACGAATGCAAACATGCACAGAAGGGCTAACATCATCAGGAACGTGATGGGCGAACTCGAGAGCCTGACATCCATGTCGTCCTTTGTCTGAAGACACCTGAAGAAACAACATGACATGTCGTGACCACTGAGGCATTGCAAAGTCTAGGTAATAGCACACTGAGACTCAGGTACTTGCCAGCAGCAGCAACAGAGGGCGATAGGTCCTGTACGCCAGCCAAGTTGGACACAACCGAGGCAGGCAATGAATGAGAAGCCGCCAACTAGGCATCAGAAGACAGCTTTTTTTTATCAGCCGCCAGCACCGTCATTCGCGCTTGCTCTTCCGGTCCTGACAAGGCCAAGATGGGATTAGCATTGGGAGCAAAACGACAACTCGCAACCCTGAGCCTTGGATAATCTGTAGAGCCCAGAACCCTGAACCTACACTTTACTTTAGCTTAAAACCCCTTCAAAACCTTAAACCCAATTGCCTGAAAACATATGATTGAATTAGTACTGTAAGGTATCCTTCGGCCTTCTTCCGCGCGGCAGAGCGCGACCGGGCCCGCGAGGGCGACTTTGGCGAGGGCGCGGGCGTCGAGGACGCCGAGGGCGCGGGCGTCGAGGACGCCGAGGGCTCTCTCACGTTGGGCGGGTCCTGTGACAGGGAAGTTCTAGCATCATGCGTGCCAGGATACACTCCACCCTCGCAGACCAACCAGCCCCTGCCTGCATCGGACGCGGAGGAAAATCCGCTTGATCCGCGCGCGGATGGCAGAGCCCTGCAACCGTGAAGCGGGCGAGGACGTTGTGCGCTAGCATGCGCAGAGGCTCCACGATCTCTTGCGAGCGAATCCTGACAGTAGGCTGGCATGAGCGTAGATCGTTGTTAAGTAGAAGACTAAGTCACAAATTAATTATTATCTTATGCCGAGGCTCGCGAAGAGAGCCTCCTGGAGCTTTGGCCAGGCAGTACCGAGGGCGAGGGCGCTGGTGTCCACGCCCAGGAGGCACTGAAGAATGAGGCCGCGCTGATCAGGTGCAGTTTTCAGCCAGCGATATTGGATAGGCTATATACATGGCATGCATTATTGCTGAATTTAAGAGTAATACCGACTGCCAAAGAACTCCTTGTCGCCGCCTCTCTGGATGAAGCGCGACAACGTCATTGGCGCAGAGTCCAAAAGGTCCCGAAGGATTTCCTCGATCCTTGTCGGTTGGCCCGTGTATTTTGCCTCCACGTACAGCTGATCCCCCCTGAGCACCGGAGATACCTGGAGCACCATGAACCCTAGGTCGCTGTAGTAGGTTGCTGTACTGCTGCTGTTGCTGCTGCCGCTCTGGTTCTTGTTGTTGTTATTGTGTTCCTGTTGCTGTTGTCGTCGGGCTTACGGTTTGGAGCTTCAGGGTTTAGGGCTGCGTGTTTAAAGTGTTAGAGTGCGGCGCGGGTTAATTTAGGTGTGGGCTTGAGGTTCTAAAGTTTCGGATTTTAGGGAGAACAAAAAATCGAGGGCTTGGGGTTGCTGGCCAAGTTGCAGCTGCATCTGAGTTTTGGAAAAGACGGATGGGCACCGGCCGAGTCGGCAGCGGATTTTGGGAGCCCAGCTGCATCATGTTCACAGAAGCCGCAACAGACGTCACAGGAGCCTCGGTTGTGGCCGGCCACGGACTGAAGGAACAGTTGCTCCAACCAGACTTTAAAACCAAGCTGAGCAAAAGCCAGTTCTGATGTTTCATGGACTGCGTGGCCGAGGCCAGCGAGGGCGGGACAGTGAACGGCACCGAGGGCGGACGCATCACAGAAGGCGGTGGTGCTGCTGGTGCAAAAGGTTGTGGTGCTGCTGGTGCTCGTGGTACTGCCGGTGCTGCTGGTGCTCGTGGTACTGCCGGTGCTGCTGGTGCTCGTGTTGCTGCAAGTGCTCTTGGTGCCGCTGGTGCTCGTGGTGCAGCACGTTCTGCTGGTGCTGCTGGTGCAGCAGGTGCTGCTGGTGCTCGTGCTGCAGCAGGTGCTGCTGGTGCTAATGCTGCAGCAGGTGCTGCTGATGCTGCTTTTGCTACTGGTGCTGCCGGTGCTGGTGCTGCTGGCGGTGCTGTTTCGGCTGCAGCTTTCGCCACCGAGGGCGGGGGCGATGCCGCCTTGGCAGCAGACGGAAGCCCTGGCCGTGGTCCCACGATCGAGGACGAGGGCGCCGGAGGCCTGTAGTTCTGCCTCTCCTCCTTATGGCATCGGGAAAAATTAAAGAACTCACTAGATCCAGACAACCCTTTTAACCTTCAACCAAGCAGAAGTCCTTGGGCTTCATGTTCAACTTCCGCTTGTCATAGCTGCCCTGGCCTTTCCTCCGGCGCTGTCCCTGCCAGTCCCAGTTCCATGGCTCGTCACCCATGGCGTCCGTGCACCTTTACTCTGCTCCTTGAATGCATTGCCCTCAATGAGCTAAGCCCTCTTAGGTTCCAGGGCCGAAGATATAAATTGACATGAGATGTATGTTTTGAGGATTGGTAGTTCCGAGTAGTGTTTGACAATGTGCTTGGCATGCTGCGCTGTCGCAGTGTCTCGAGCACAAGTGAGGTTAGACGAAGTCCAACATCGTTCATGAAAGCAAAGCACATGAAGACTGACAGTGGCACGTGCAACCCAAGTGGTCCTGGGCAGCCGCGAAGCGAAGGCGTTGACGAGGACGTGGCTGAGTACCTGGTTTGGAATGGTGCGAATAATAATGCTGGATCGTCGAACTGGTGAAGGAAATTGAAAGCCACTGCACTCAAACCGTCTGTTGGAAACCCCCTGAGGGATGCACCCAGGCGTAAGTGATTGAAGAACCAAGCCTGGCAGGGCCGTAAGGCAAGGACATGATCATTTGTAGTACATGGCATGCAGTCACCGAGCACGTTGCGCCTTTTTGTCACGCGTCTGATTCCGCTATTGCCATCACATCAGACGCCATTCCAAGTGCAGGCTCATCCGACTTCCGCCGATTTCCGAGATGTATTAATTTTATTATTGCCGAGGGCGAGGACTACTAAGTAAGTACAGCAATTCGCTGCTTCAGCTGACGAGGGCTGCAGTCGGAAGAGCCTGAACTAAAAGACTCAGTTCAATGACCAGCGCGCCGGGACCGAGGACCGTGTCGGGGCCGAGGAGCGAGCACGTGGCGCGGGTCCGGTCTGGCTCTCTCCTGGGGTAGCCCAGCAATAACTAAATATCAGAAGCACTCGTCGCATTGTCGTGCAGCATTAATCTGCCAACAAGCGGCGAGCGAGAGCTTCAAGGGCCTTGCGGCAATGCCAAGTGAGCATCGCACTGGCGTTGCGCCAGCAGGAGTCCTTGCAGTGTTGAGTTCGAATCGAGGACGAGGTCGAGGGCAAAGAAGTTTAACTTAGTAGTCTTACTGCTTATCCTTTGAACGACTAAGACTATTATCATATGCTGCCAGGCATCTCGCTGAGCTTGCGAGAGCGAGTGCCACTCGCGCCAAGCGCGAACTTGGCCTTAGCAGCTCATCTACAATCAAACAGAATGCACGCCGGACCTGACCTCTTAGTTAAGCAATGTTAGACCGGGGGCCCAGGGCTATGCCGTGGATCTCGGCCAACTTGGCGAGGCCGTCGTCGCCGTGGGCGATGAGCGACCCAACTGCCTGTGCTAAGTTGTTCGATTCCACGCAAAGGACATGCTCTCACGATTACATATCTCCCAGCCAAGTAACCTGCCAGGAGCCCTCGTCGACTCTCAGCTCCCCCAACGTCTCCACAACCCACGGAGCCTTCTTCATGACTTTCTCGAAGACCTGACGTGTGGATTGAATTATTGAATTATGTTGCCTCTGGCTCTCGGACCTGGTTGCAAACGAGTTGCGAGGTCGTGGGCCGTAGGCGGGGACGGGGACGCAGCCGACGCCGGACCAGGAGCCGGAAGGAAGCCAAGCATCTTCTGAACGCAGTCCTTGAAAGCACTTTCTGCGAGCAAGTACACCTGGTCGGTGGGACTTGGCGCTTCTGCTCGTTCTGGAAAAGATGCAAGGCCGTGTCGGCTTGGTAAATAAAGTTCAAGGCCAAAGAAAATGGCGAGGGCGAGGGCGAGACTGGCACTCCTGTGCTTGCCGGCAGAGCCTCACGTCATGATTCAGGGCTGATAGGGTTTAAGATTTATGATGGTTTAGGATTGAATTTTAGGGATGCCTGCGTTTAAGCCAAGCTGCAGATCACCTGGAAAAGGATCCGAGCGTCGGAAGTCCACTCGCACAAGGCGAAGCCCACCATCTGGCTCATGAGAAACCTGAGCGACCGCCGGCCCGCATCCGTGGCCAGCATGGAAGCTGGGGAGTCTCCATCTCCTCAGCTGCAAGAATCACGCGTGACTGACTAGGGTTTATAGGGTTTTGGGTTTTGGGATTTATGGGGTTTACAGTTAGCCCAGGCGCTCGCGTCGTCGCGTGGCCAAAGAGCTTTAGTTCTAACATCGAACGTGAGGTGCAAATGTTGGGGGAACCACCCCTTCAATGTCCCGGCCATTCCGTCTCTCCCCACAAAGCCGCCTCAGCTCAGTCTGAACTCAAGACTCTGACATGATGATTGTCGTTGTCATGCCATGTGCTAAGTGCGCTGATGAATCCTCTATTTAATAATGCATCTGAGCGACCATTGTAAGTGGTGTACCACTGCTCAGCTCCCCAGGCCATGACAATGATCTCCATCTGTGACACGACCTCGCGGATGCGCTCCATCGCCTGCTGCAGTGGCGAGGACGAGGACGATGATGAGGACGCCATGAGACGAGAGCCGGCAGGCGTTAGACTTACTGTACGCCTAAGCTAAGTCCATGTGAATTTGCAGTGACTCGTGTGTCGTACGTAATTGACCGCCTGGCAGCCTGAATTTGGTGCTAGAGTCCTAGAAATGTCGGTTTAAACTACACTGACCGCCTGGCAGCCTGAATCTGAAGCTAGAGTCCTAGAAAGTCGGTCAATCATGCGTGGCATGCGACAGTGTCACTCACTTGAGTTGCCAGTCTGACGGTGACGGTCGTCAAGCTCATGCCAAACTTCCAATGCAAAGCACTTCTGACTTGCAAGCGACAGTGACACAGTGCTTGGGCATGCAAAAACCAACTTAGCAAATGTGTCAGCGGCACCTTCGGGTGACGGCGTCGCAACTTGATAATGGCCACGACCTGATGTCAAAGTCTGAACACTTCCAGCTGCAGTGCGATATGCGAGGCTTGGGCTCCAAGCCCAGCAGCGCGCAGTTTGACCTGGGCAGTCGCAGTCAGGCTTGGCTGGAGAAGGAAAGCGACGCAACAGATCCGAAAGGCGCTGACCGCCAAGCCCAAAAACCCAGAGCAAGCAGCAGCTGTTGACCTGGAGCGAGCCCGGGCTCAGGCTGGGTCAGGCATAAGGTCTTACTGCGATATGCCTCTGGTGACGGGCCTGCGTCGTGGAGGTGACATCGTTCATGAGTTTGCGAAGTTGCTCAGTTGGTGCGAGGACGGTAGTTGGGTGAAGAACCCCCTGATTTGATTCGGCTCTAAGTTTAAGCCTTCAGATGAACAGTGGTCAACCTCCCAAAAAAAACCTAAAGTAAATGCAGCCTGAAACCCACGAGGGCGAGTGCGAGCTGAGGCCCCAACACTGTCAGGTGCAGGGGGCTATGATTAAGGAGTTTAGGGTTTAGGGGTTTAAGCTTTCAGGGGTTAGGGGTCTAATAATAACAATAATTAATAAATAAATAGTTTACAACCCTCGATTCCTCAGTCAAGATAGGGCTTCGGGGTTAAGGGGGATAAGCTACGCTTGTCATTCAGGCGATACCCTTCCCAAGCCCCGGGCGGATTTAGGGCTGGGGTGGGGGGGCTAT